TGACCATCCCCCCTGGGGGGTGATTTCTCACTTTCTGTCTCTATGTCTCTCTCTGTCTGGCGAGCACACGTGCCCTTATAGTGAAAACCTCTCAAAAAAAAAATTTTTTTAAAAAATAAAGACAGTGGACTCCCACATGGCCAACCGCAGTTTGAGTCCTGAAATTGGTGACTTGCTTTCTCACTTTCCCTTTCTCTTTTCAAATTAAAAATAATAATAAGTAAAATAATTCTCCAAGAAAATAAAGTGCATCTAATTTTTTAAAGTTCTCATTGTGTTTTATGGCTTTCCTTCTCAAAGATACAAAAGAAACTAAACACTGACATATTTCTTCCCATTTTATCCTTTTAGTTTCCTGTCTAGAATATGTTTATGTTTTCAAAATTTCTTTAATCATTTAATATAGGAGACACTGCTAAAGCATTTCTATCACTAACTTAAAACCTTCCTGTTGACTTCTGTTGGAGGGGTCTAAAGATAACAATTTCTCTGGGACCAGCAGTTAGCGTAATGGCTATGTTGCTGGGCTCCCATATAGTCGACTGTGGTTTGAGTCCCGGACCTGGTGGCTTAAACTCATGCCAGACACGTGTGTGGGCATGCCCAAGATCCCAAGAGGAGAACAGAAGAGAAGGGATAGCAGCCTGGCCATCTCCCCTGGGAGGTGATTTCTCGCTTTCTGTCTCTCTCTGTCTTTCTAGTGAGTGCACCCCCCCAAAGCAAAAACCCCTACAAAAAAAAAAAAAAAAAGGATAATTTCTCTTTATGCTCAATGATGTATTTGTTTTTCAAACCAAAATACAACTTTTTTTGATCATCTCAACTCCTTGGGGAGAAAAGAACATTTGAAAGTAAATACAAAAAGTGCTAATATACAATTAAAAAAGGACCAACAGCGTAATGGCTATGTTGCTAGGCTCCCATATAGTCGACTGTGGTTCGAGTCCCGGACCTGGTGGCTTAAACTCATGCCAGACATGTGTGCGGGCATGCCCAAGATCCCAAGAGGAGAACAGAAGAGAAGGGATTGCAGCCTGGCCATCTCCCCTGGCTATGTTGCTGGACTCCTCTGTAGTCGACCACGGTTCGAGTCCTGGACCCGGTGGCTTAAACTCACACCGGGAGTGTGTGTGTGCATGGCCATCCTCCCTGGGGGGGTTGATCTCTCACTTTCCATCTCTCTGCCTCTCTGTCTTTCTGGCGAGCACACGTGCCCTATGGCAAAAACCCCTCCCCCCCAAAAAAAAAAATTAAAAAATACAAACCAGAGGACCAACAGGTGGCGTGGCATAATGGTTATGTTAATAAATTCCCACATAGTTGACTGGTTCGGGTCCTGAACTCAGCAACTTAAAACTCACATTGGGTGCATGTACGTGCACACCCAAGATCTGAGAAGAGAATGGAGAAGGGATTGTGGCATGGCCATTCCTCCTGGGGGGGGTGATTTCTCACTTTCTGTTCTCTGTCTGTCTCTGTCTCTCTGGCAAGTGCACACACCCTATCACAAAAATCTCCCTCTCAAAACCAAAACCAAAAACAAAACCAGAGCAATCCAAAAGTTTGTGTGTCTGTGTGTATGAGTGTGTAAACCATAAAAAAGATGACACCTGTTAAATGAACAAAAGGAGTTTCTATAAAGATATACTCTACTTGATCAGCATTTTCCAACATTTGTTCACCAAATTTGAGATACAATAATGTATACAGTGGCATATTAAAACCAAAGTAAGGACCAGCAGTTAGCATAATGGCTATGTTGCTGAACTCCCATGTAGTCAACTGTGGTTCGAGTCCTGGACCCGGTGGCTTAAACTCATGCCGGGTGCGTGTGCATGCAAGATCCCCAGAGGAGAATGGAGGAGAAGGGATTGTGGTGAGGTCATCCCCCCTGGGGGTGATTTCTCATTTTCTGGGAACCAGCAGTTAGCGTAATGGCTATGTCACTGGACTCCCATGTAGTTGACCACGGTTCACGTCCCGGACCCAGTGGCTTAAAACTCACGCCGGGCGCGTGTGCGTGCGTGCCCAAGATCCCAAGAGGAGAATGGAGGAGAAGGGATTGCAGCGTGACCATCCCCCCTGGGGGGTGATTTCTCGCTTTCTGTCTCTATGTCTCTTTCTGTCTGTCTGGCAAGCGCATGCGCCCTCTAGCAAAAACCTCTCCAAAAAAACAAAGTAAAGAAATCTATATAGTTTTGCCTAGCTAGTTTTCTTTCAAGTTTACCATAAGTTTTTCTCTGGACAACTAGCACTCTTACAGTGTATTTCAAGGAACTACTATTCCAACAACATCACTACAGAACACACTGTATTTTTAGACGTTAATAAATTATTATTATTACCTGTTCTGGGTTCTTTCATTGGTCTACACACAGTCCATTGATTTTGATGAGGGTCATATCTTTCAATGCTTGACAAATGTGACACACCATTATGTCCACCTACCACAAAAATAAAGCCAAGCATAACACCCACGCCAAAGTGAATCCTCTTATCTGCCATGGATGCAACCATCTCCCAGGAGTCTTTACTTGGATCATAACGTTCCACACTGCAAATATTCACAAAAGAAAGAATTAATTAACAAATTCCTGTGTCACTCTTCTTGTCAAAGCAAAACTATAACCTAGCATAGTTTTAAAAGTTCAAATAAATAGGCAGACATAAAACAAGAGTAGTACATCCCAATGTTTAGATTTTACTGATAAGATTATATGGATGGGGCCAGATGGTGGTGCAATGCCCACAAGCTGACCCACAGAGGAAGGTTCTGGGTTTGCATCTAAGATCTCCCAGACACGGTGGGTACACAAACGCCCATGATCCAGGGCTGGCTGAGGCTAGGGCTAAATTATAGTATAGGGATCCTGTTACAGATGCCTCTCTTCCTCCCTTTGTTTTTCTCTCTCTCATAGAATAAATAATTTTTTTAACTAAAAAAAAAAAGAAAAGAAAAAGTTTATTGGGAAAAAAATAAGGACGATGTATGTGCAATAATAGCCACATGCTATTCCATTATATTGTACAAGTAGTATGGCATATTAATGGCATAGAACTTAGATTCACAAGACCTAGGTTCAAATACTAACGCTATATACCTAGAGCTGACTGAACCCTAGCCCTATCACTCTAGAGTAGTGAAATCTTGAATAAGTAAGTTCTTCCTGGACCAGCCCTATAGTGCAGTGGTTAAGTGCAGAGCATAGGGAGCCAGATCCCACATAGCTGACTGTACCTCAAGTTCTGGACCCTGTCATTTAAAAGACATACTAGGTGTGTCTGTATGGATGAGAAAATGAAGGGAAAAAGACTCCAGTGTGACCATGCCCTATTGGAGACATTTTCTCTCTCTCTTTCTCTCTGAGTATATGCATCCTCTGGGGGAAAGAAAATTTCCTCTTCCCTGTAAAAATTAGCATATTACACCTCTAAGAAACCGTGTAAAAATGAAGTCAAATGAGTATGTATGCTTAAGTTCTTTGAAAACGACAAATGGAATGTATATTTTTTTTAAGATTTTTAAAGCATCTTCTAAGTAAGAAAAATAGAAAAGGAAAAGATGGAAAAAATAACTATTATTTTTTTTCTTAAAGGAAAATTTATGTGATTTAAAGGAAAGAAATCACTAGATTCCATAACACAAACTTGGTAATCAAGATAACCCCAGCATGCTTGAGGAGAATTCAGGGATTTCAGTCTGCATTCCATAGAAACTCTGGCATCTCCAAGAAGCAATCTATAGAAACCCAAATCAAATTAGAATTTTCAAAAGTGCTTCCCTAAAAAAATATCAGAAGTACTTTAAGCCTATGGTTTGCCTCAAAGGGGCACAAATGCACAAAGGTAAGCTTGTTGAGCTTGTTCTGACCCAACTTTTTGAGAAAGCTTCAAGCATTTGAGATGCTATGGCATCATTCTGGAGTTCTTAATAAAGACTAAATAACTGTGTTCCTGAAAAGATGCTAGGATAAAACTCTTGCCCATTGTACAAAATCACCGTAAGAGTCAATAAGTAGCAAGACCTTAAAATTTCAAGAGCATAATCTCAAAATTAAAACACTCAAATTTTAGGGCCATAAGATGGCATAGCAATTACAGTGTGCGTGCCCAAGATCCCAGGAGGAAAATGGAAAAGGGAGACTGTGGTGTGGCCACCCCCCTGGGGATGATTTCTCACTTTCCCTCACTGTCTCTGTCTCTCTCTGGTGAACACACATGCCCTAAGGCAAAAACCTCTAAAAACAAACAAACAAAAACACCAAAAACTTAACTTTTTATCTTATACATTTTTGCCATAAGATTTTCAAAGAACAGAAATGCACGGGACCAGCAGTTAGCGTAATGGCTATGTCGCTGAACTCCCATGTAGTCGACTGTGGTTCGAGTCCCGGACCCGGTGGCTTAAAACTCATGCCGGGCGGATGTGCGTGCATGCCCAAGATCCCAAGAGGAGAATGGAGGAGAAGGGATTGCGGTGTGGCCATCCCCCCTGGGGGGTGACTTCTTGCTTTCTGTCTCTCTGTCTCTCTCTGTCTGGCGAGCGCACGCACCCTATAGCAATGCACATCTGGGGCCCAATTACTTTTCCTCAATTAAGTGAGCATAGAAGCAGGGAACACTAACTTAAAAAGAAATAAAAATCTATAAGTAAAATGCTGTCGTGTCATTACTTGCTTAGTTAACAAACCACAAGACACTCTTTTATTAAAATGCTCACAATCCAAAAAAACATATACCATGCTAATTATTATTAGAGATAATAGGTATATAGCAGGTGGTGTAGTGATTGAGAGCTCGAGACTCCCACATGGCTGACAACGGATCAAGTCCAGACCTGGTGGCTTGCTTTCTCACTTTCTCTCTCTCTCTCAATTCTTTCTCTCTCTCCCTCACTATGCTCCTCTGGTCAAATTAAAATAAATAAATAAATAAAGTTAAATAAAATAATTCTTAAAAAAATTTGTAGGATATGAATACTCAATGAAAGTTCAGAACTGTGACTGATTTCCATATAAGGAGTAATTTAATACTTTTATTTTCTCATATATTTCTCCTTTATTCAGATAATATTACAGAATACAGAAATCTCAAATTCAGACTCTAGTACAACTCAGATATATGATAACACATATATCAGAGTAAGAATTCAGAAACAGTTAAATATGGCTTTAAGTTTATAGTGTATTATATCATACAGGCATCTAAGAAACCATTTCTACTTCTTCATTAATCAATGCAACAAAAAACCATATACATATACACTAATGCCCCCCACAAAATCTAAAGTCATCTTACTTCATTTTACGTTCAGGTTTCTGAGTTTTAAAATCTAGTCCACATATACTGAATGAATAAATGTAAAATTTAACAAAAAGAATCTCATTTTTAGGTTTGTGTTAAACTCCCACATACAACAATTCAACTATACTCATGGAACAGATTAAATTTCCCAAATGCTTATGAGTATTACCTACAATTTAAAAAAATAAGTATATTCATACAGATATTGCTTAAAACTAAGAAATCATTGCTAACTGTACTTTAAAAAAAATCTAAATACTAACATACATTATTTGATTAATTAGCTAAATACCTGTTCATGTGGGCAGGCCCATACCCACCAATGGCATATATCATTCCATCCAATACAGCTGCAGCAAAACAACTTCTTGTTGTAGTCATTGGTGCCACAGGTTGCCATTTTCTTATTTTGGGAATATACTTCTCTACAGATTGTAAGTAAGACTGTCCATCATAACCACCTAGAGCATAAAGTTCTCCTGCAAGCACTACTACACCAAGGGTACTTCGACTCTCATTCATTCTCTCTAGAGAAGTCCAGGTATTTGTATCAGGATTCCAGCATTCTACTGAATTTTCATGTTTTCTGATAGTGACGCCAGGACGCACATTAGTTTCAATACCTCCTATCACATATACTTTTTGGTCTAAAACACATATTCCAAATTCATAGCGAGGAATGTTTAGGGGTGCCAAACCAATCCAGGAGTCATTCTGAGGAAAGTACATCTCCACACTAAAAAAAAAGCAGAAAAAATTAAAATTTAAAAACCAAAAAATGGCTTATAAATAGAAATATGTTAAATTTCATTAGTAATCAGAGACATGTCAATTAGAGTCATAATAAACCATGACACATTTACCAGAAATTAAAAAAAAAATTAATCAGTTATTAACAACTCTTGGCAAGAATATGGAGCAAGGAATGCATGCTCTGTGGCCGAGTGTAAACTGATATAAACTATTCTGAATAACAATCTTACATTATCTAATAAACTTGAAGATACATGCAGACCCTAATTTGGCAATTTCATGTCTATGTATCTACTGAATACCTACTATGGTCAATTCTGTACAGCATATATATGAAAATATTCACAGCAGCATAACACAATCATCTCTCCAAAGGAGAATAGATAAATAAGGTGTAGCATATCTGTCCTATAACTGAGCAATTACACTTTTAGTTGTATACCCAAGAATAATGCATGCCTATGTGTAAAGTGATGTTCATAGCAGATGTTTGACTATTTATCAACTGTAAAATAAACTGTGGCATATCACACAAGGGAATATAATAGAACAATGAAAATGAACTACAACTACATGCAAGGGGACGATACTTACACAAAAAATGTTAAGGGAAAGAAGTCAAATTCAGAATGTAGCCTATATTGTTTCATTTATATCACATTCAAAAATAGATAAAACTAATCTTTGGATTATAAACAAGGATAGTTGTTATCTTTGGGGAGTTCAGAAAGCTAAAGGGTGGCTTCTGTGTGTTGATCCTGTTCTGTTTATTTTTCTTAAATATTTAGTTTTATTTATCATTATTATTTTTAAATTTGCTACAAGGCACACAAGCTGACCACAGAGCGAGAGAGAGAGAAAGTGAGAAAGCAAGCCGCCAGGTTCAAGACTCAAAACGTGGTAGGCCATGTGAGAGTCCAGTGCCTTTACCACCATGCCACCTGCTGGCCCCCATGTTCAGTTTCTGGAATTGGTTTGTAATGTTCAATTTATAAAAATTCACTAAGTTTGCATTTGGAATCTGTATACTTTTCTGTATATATTTATCACTTAAAATTTAAAATAAAATACTTCAGGGCCAGATGGTGGTACAGTGGAAAAATGCACAATAGTCTTCAAGGCAGTTCTAGTCTGGAGACCTCCCCTGAGTATGCCAGGCATGTGTGAGTCCATGATCTGGGGTTGGCTGAAGACTGGGGTAGACTAAAGTGTAGGGACCCTGTTGCAAGCTCTCTCTCTTGTTCATGGAGAAAATAAACCTAAAAAATCGAACTTTTCAGGCCAGTTAGCGGCAAGGTGGTTAAGGCAGCTGGACCCCACATGGCTGCCTCTATGGTTCAAATTTCATATCTGGAGGCTTGAAAAATAGCTGGGGCGCACGCATGTGTATGTGCCTAAGATGCTGGAAGGAGAAGCAGAGAAGGGATTTCAGTGTGACCGTTCCCCAATGGGGGAGAGGGGTGCTTTCTTACTTTCCCTATCTCCTTCTGTCTCTCTGCTCTGGCAAGTCCATGTGCCCTCCAGCAAATGTTTTTAAAAAATTAACAATTTCATTATGAGAAGAAAAAAGTTATACTGTGCTTATGTATTATACCATACATCAATAAAAGTAAATGGAATTGTTCCTTATATAACTTCATAGATAAATTTCATAAACTTACAGTTCAATGAAAAAACATTATCTCTAAAGAGTATGTTTAATATTATTCTATTTATATGAAAATGTTTAAAATTGAATACAAAGAGTCTTCAAAAACATCTGTGAAAAAAAAAAACAGAAGTAAAGTATGAATTTTGAAACTCATGCACAGCATTTTCAAAACACATGCTCCCCATGAAGTTTTTGAAGACCTCTGCCCATGCCCACACAATCACAACCATATACCGGGACACATACATGTCAAAATTTCAATGAAAACCAAAGGGATAATGCATAGAAAATTAGGGATAGTAATTATTTCTGGAGAAAGGACAGAGATAGCACCAAAGTGGGGCACATGGGGACTCCAAAAGTACTATTAATAGTCTATCAAGCTGATTTATTTATTTACACCCTGACTGCATATTATATATGGTCTTCTGCATGTATATATATATTTCATTATTCCAGAAAAGTGTGTATATATATTTCATTACATCAAAAAAGTTGGGGAATAGTAGCTGATGCCCCCAAACTCAGTAATGTAATAGCATAAAACCATATAGTCTCTATTTAGCATGATCAAAGCACATTTTGTTCAAGTTATCGAATATCTTTTTATAGTTTTATTTCTTCCTTTTAAAAAATGTAGATTTATTTCAATGAGACCAATATATCAGAGAACAATCTGACCTTGAAAAGAGTGGCTTCAGCAAGGTGGTGGTGATAAACTTTGACTGGAGGGTTCAAGACAGAATGGGAGATAAGGAAGGGAAAACAGTGGGCATAGACAACTTTTCTAGTAATTTTTACTACAGTGAAATACAGCTGGTTCTGTAATGTGCTGCTTAAGAAGCTGGATACCACATAGCAACCACAGTTGAATCCCCAGTCTGATTTGCCCAAAACACTCAGGTACATATGTGAGTGCCCAGGATCTGACAGGCTGGAGAACTGCAGCGAGGGAATTACGGCATGATTAGACGCTTTGGAGGGGGCTCATCTCTTTCTTACTCACTCACACACTATCACAGACTAAAAAAAAATTTAAGGGTGGAATAGATATGAGGAAGCAGCTACAAAGTGGAAAAGCAATGGGACTAGAGAGGACTAACCTAGTCTGGAAGCTTATATCAGAACCTAAGTTTGTATGCTGAGGGCAATGGTGCAACATAGTGTGAGAAGATGATACAGGAGAGAAACAGGATAACTGAAAGAACAATTTCTTATGTAGAGGAGGGGGAATAGAATCTAGCAAAGTGAAGCAAAGGAATTAGTTTTAAATAAAAATAACTTGATAGATTTGGAGATGAGAATAAGAGGTAGCTCTTTCAGTTACTTCTATCTTCTCTGTAGAATTCAAGAGAAAGTAATCATCTAAATTGGAAGGTGAGAGAAAGGGGTTTGGATGTTTTTAAAGACAGAACATGTCTTAGTCCTCTTTTTTGTTGTTGTTGTTGCTTTAACAAAATATCTGAGACTGGATAATTTATAAAGAATAGAGATTTATTTCTTATAGTCTGGAGGTTGGGAAATCCAAGGAAGGAGAGCCCACATCTGGTGAGGGCTTTCTTGCTGCACCATGTAGAAGTGGAAGGGCACGCACACAAGAGAGCAAGAGATCTCTCAAGTCCTTTTATAATTGGCAATAATTCATTCATGAGGGTGTAGTCCACATCACTTGAGCACCTTCCATGGGGACTCACTACCCAACACTGTTCCCATTGGAAATTATATTTCCAACATGTGCTTTTTTTTTTTTTTAGAGGTTTTGCACTGTAGGGCATGTGCGCTTGCCAGACACAGAGAGAGAGACAGAGAGACAGAAAGTGAGAAATCCCCCCCCAGAGGGGATGGCCACGCCGCCATCCCTTCTCCTCCATTCTCCCCTCGGGATCCTGGGCACACAAGCCCGGCGTGGGTTTTAAGCCACTGGGTCCGGGACACGACCCGCAGTCGACTACGTGGGAGACCAGTGACATAGCGATTACGCTAACTGCTGGTTCCCCCAACATGTGCTTTTTTTTTTTTTTAGAGGTTTTGCACTGTAGGGCATGTGCGCTCGCCAGACAGAGAGAGAGAGACAGAGAGACAGAAAGTGAGAAATCCCCCCCCAGAGGGGATGGCCACGCCGCCATCCCTTCTCCTCCATTCTCCCCTCGGGATCCTGGGCACACAAGCCCGGCGTGGGTTTTAAGCCACTGGGTCCGGGACACGACCCGCAGTCGACTACGTGGGAGACCAGTGACATAGCGATTACGCTAACTGCTGGTTCCCCCAACATGTGCTTTTTGATGGGCATATTCAAATCATAACATCTTACCCCACCCACAAAATTCATGGTATTTTCACATGCAAAATATACATTCATTCCATCTCAATAACCCCAAAGTCTTAACTCATCTCAGCATCAACTCAAAAGCCCAAAGACCAGAGTTTCATCTAAATCAGATATGGGTGGGTGAGACTCAAAAGCACAATTTGTTCTGAGGTAAATTCCTTTCAGTTATGAGCCTGTGAAATCAAAACTGTCCACATTTCTACCAACATTCTGATCATAAGAATTCCTAAGATAATTGAGACTCTCCCTACAGCCCTTGTCGTCTGAGCCTTCATCAGAATCGTTCTTATGGCTCCATTTATGGCAATCTAATTTTTTCTAACAAATCTTCCAAATTCTTCCAGCCTCTATCCACTGCTTAGTTCTAAATATGCTTCAACATGCCCAGGTATTTGTTATAGCAATAACCTCACTTCCAGTACCAATTTTCTCTTAGCATAAAACTGGGTAATTAATTTCATATAGTTTTGGAGGCTGGAAAGCCCAAGGTTGAGGGGCCTGTATCTGGCAAAGGCCTTCTTACTGCACCATCTCATTGTGGTAGGCAGACAGGCATTGACAGCAAAAGATCAAATTCACAGTCTTCAAGACCTTTTATAATTGCCAATGATTCCTTCATGAGGATGAAGCCATAATGACCAAAAAATATTTCCCATTAGGCCATAACTTGCATTATTGCATTGGGGATTAGGTTTCCAATACATGCTTTTTTGTGGGGACACATTCAAACCACAACAAAGTAGAAGATGTGAGACAGTTCTCCCAAGAAGTGAAGGAATACAGTGATTAGGGAAATGCAGAGGGTTTTCTGGGGAATGCTGAGGGCCCCAAATGAGACCAGTTAAGATGGGTATGTGTATTTCCTCTAGCTACATTCAACTGCTCAGGTGTAGCCAAGGCATAAGTGGAGAACTGAATTCAAGCTCATGAGTATGACAGAGTGACAGAACAGCAAGGGAGCCATGGGTGTATTCTTAGGAATGATGACAGGGATTTCCTTGAG